GTTGTTAAACTCGTTGATTCGTTTGGCAGGCCGAGTGAACAGTTAACGAGTGCTTTTTTCATAGTCTAATTCAATACACAAATTCGAAACACTTTCTAAAATGTCTTACCTTCTGTTTATTTCCTGAACTCGTACATGTTGCTACGTGCACTACACTGTCTACACAAGCTACTCCTTGCCAGAATCGCAGAATCTTTCAAAATTGTACATTACTTTTACCACTGTCAAAGTCACGTCATCTCGCATATGCTTCCGTAACCCAGTTACAATAGTTCCAGCTGTGACGTACATTTCATTGTCAATCAAATTTGTCGTTTTACGTCGACAATGAAAAAGGAACCCCGGGCCAACCTTACCGTGGCCTGCCACAGGCATCCCACGGAAAAATAATATGTCCTTCCTTTGCTTTCTTCAAGGAAGGGCTAGCACTCGAAACTTATTAACCATGGCGGTTAATAGACCCTTATCAAATTTGAGTTAATAATCACGGCGATTTGATATTTTACTTGCCAAACGGCGACAGTGATCTTTTTTTTTTTTAGAATCGAAAGAACAATGATCAGCACAATATATCTATAAAAATCATGATATATTTATAAGAAAGCATATGTCCAGGTATTATAGTACCAATGGACGGTGCGAAGTGGTCTCAGTGATGAACTTAGCTTGTGTAGAATAACTTAATTATTATTAAGTAAACAATATGAGTAAACAATATGACAGTTACCTTATATTTCTTTAAACCCTTTCCCAGCTAATACGTCCCTTTGTGAGCACACATAACAATTATCAACCCTTTTTACGTCATTAAGCCACAATAAAATAAACATCGGCGTAACTAAGGCATTGAATGAATCATGTTGATCTCTTTCGCCATACCGTTTTTGAAGTAGTGTTGTTTGCTTTGTCGCTTATCTTGTCAGCATGCTGAAAAACTGTATATGCTGAACGGAATGGAGTTAACATGAGAATACAAATAAAGCAACCACCGTCTTGAGCCAGAACCGGCATTTTGTAATCACAGTGGCACACAAAGAATCTGTTTTTTGAAATATCCTGACCAAGACAGTCTCTGACAGATTAGCTCGTTTTTCAACAACAAAGGTTTCAGAACTGTAGTTTTTCACGCAACACGTTCATAAGATTTTCCTACGTGAGCAACAAGTATCATCAAATGTCCTTTAAACCGTGTAGCACACCTAGCATAGCATTCTGATTGAGTTTGGAAATCTCATAAATCGGTCCAATTGGCCATTCTTAGTCTCTAACGAGCACAATTTGGCTCGATGATAGTGACGAATTGGAGCCTACAATGCCACAAATATTCTGTATTTCTGCCAACATTTTTGGCGGCTTTTTTTTAACCCGGTATTCGACAAGACATAATGTTCAAACTTCAATATTTGATAAGTCAACCAACTGTTGCGTATACCGCATATTTTATGTTTATGTAAACCGGAGGTTTTAGAATTCCAGTTTCCGATCACGCCACACTTTGCAAAGAATGTATTAAGTAGCAAATATCAACAACTGTCGCTCGAACTGCCCAGCACACCTAGCATGACATTCTGATCGAGTTTGGAAACCTTGCAAAATAACGACAACCGAAAATGCCGAATTGGAGCTGTAGCTTTGAACTGCAACAACAACTGAGGAACAAGCTCACTGAACTGACCTGATGCGCTGAAAATGCAACCTGGTGAAAAGCAGACTGAACAGGACTTCCTTGATGGATTTCTTTGTCCCCCTTGCTGGTCAGTAGTTGCCTTGTAATAAACTTGAAGACAATACAAGAATAAGAAAGCGCTGGCAGCAAGTGAAACTATCAACAGCGCGGCAAAGAGCACCTTCTCCCTTCTCGAGTGTTTCCTGCCGAACGTTAGTTGCTCATTCGGAATGCCTTGCTGGATGCGAATCCCTTGACCGGCAGAATCGATTTTCTTCATGTATTTAACTTCCGACATGTTGTGGAAAATCGCTTTCACGATTGTATATAACGACTGTAAGCTGTGTAGTCAACTTAAAACCTCACCAGAAGTAGGCTGGTCAACATCGGTTGGTCGGTCGCTGGCGCAGCGAAACATGGACCCAATCTCTTATTAAACTACCGTGGAATGTCAAACTAACTCTGGAATTCGATTGTCACATACCGTCCGAAAAATCGGTTTTTGGTGGTCAATGAAATAATTTTTTTTACGAAATTACGAAACTATCTCAAGAGCCAGCTATTGAACAAAAATACTATGAGCCGCAGGTTTTCTACATTTTTTTTCTTGAGATCGCGCAAGAATTAGCGTATATTTAAGTATGTTAGAATTCTAGTACCTTTCCGGCTAAGAGAACAGGTTTATTTAAAATTTGGAACATTTTTACGATATTACTGTACACACTTTTGCTCTAACCTTTTAACTTGCAAGCAAATTGAGCTAATGCAACAAAGAACCACAGAAATGGATACGTCTTCATTGGTTTTCTACCCCGTTTTTTTGCCTTTCCCGGTCACGCATCGTCGTGATCTTGGAGCCTAGAACTGAGCAGCCTCGAGGCACGAGATGCTGTTACCGCTCAGGTTCTCAAAAGATCGAATGTGGTGTATTCATTTCACGGGATTTCCGGTAGTGAATCGCGTAACGTACACGTTTATGTTACGCTACTTCATCGTATACAGACGGATTCAGCTAACGTGTTCTCCTGCCACCCAACTCAGATCTTGGGAGGTACAATTATTCTGTTTGTACATACTCTCAAGCAATCAACTGCACGATTGTAACCCCCCAAATGAGTCAACATGTGATCTGAATTGGATGGCAACAAGCATGAAAACACGTTCGCCCAATCCGTCTATGATAGGTGTTGAGAAACAGCCAGCGACTGTTATGAACAGTTTTTCTAGAATACATTCGTCTAACCGTTCTTGCAACCTACTAAATGCGACAAACAGTCGTAACCTTCTACCTGTGGGGTAAACCGGAAAAATAACATACCATAAATACAATTTAAAGTATTTCTTACATTTCAAGGGTCCGTATTAATTGTCGGAGATGTGTATATCAGATGTTTTGCAACTGCCTGGGCAGACTTGAATGCCACAAGCAAAAGAGATATCAGCTACTGAATTCCCTGCTTTATCGTGCTACATTGAGATATATCTTCAATCCGGAAGTTATTTCAGTTTACAATGCGTGTAGTCTCTTTAAGGAATGGGACACATGTTGTATTCTATACAGTGTGTTGATTGATTTCTTTCAACATTCAACAAGGCATGAGATATTTAAGGTTATTGCTATAAAAATATTGAAGGGTATCCATAATTAGCCATATAATTTCGAAACCCAGCAAGATACGAGAAAAAAAAAACAACAAAAAAACAAGAGAACAAGATGTAACCGTTCAATACATGTTTCAAGGACTCGATGACAGCACAAAGGACGTGCTACATGAGATTGGCTACTTAAAGATCAATCAATTCTATCGAAAATTGACAGGAAATCCCCCCTTGATTAGTTTAGACCAAAAAATGTCTGCAATCGAACACTAACCTTTGGCAATACACGTTTGGTTCCGTCTTCTTTTCCGACTTTCCTCACATCCACACTTCGTATGCTTAGTTTTGTGTTTCTCCGGAGCTTTTTCCTCCTTTTTGGCATTTGATGCTGGTGTGCATTCAGTTGGAGCTTCCTTCTCCTTTGTGGTATGTCTCGCTGGTGTGGATTCAGTCGGAGCTTCCTTCTCCTTTTTGGTTTGCCTCGCTGGGGGGTATTCGTTCGGAGCTTTCTTCTCCTTTTTGGTATGTCTCGTTGGTGTGGATTCAGTCGGAACTTTGGCAGGTATGGGTGGTATTAATACAGTCAGAGCTTGTTTCTCCTTTTTTACGTATCTCGCTGAGGTGGAATCAAAGGGAGCTTCTTTCTCTTTTTTGACATGTGTCGCTGATGTGGAGTCAGCCGCAACTTCCTTCTCTTTGTGGACATGCCTCGCTGATGCGGAGCCAGCGAAAACGATAAATACCACCAGGAGGAAGTAAACGGCATGGATTTGCCTCCTTGTAAGTTCCTTCATGGTCTGATCTTGTATACACAGTCTTTCACCCTTTGAGCAACAACAAAACTGGTATAAGTACGTGTAGACGTTTTTGAGGACTCGGCAGCGCTATTTCTCAAACATTGCATGGGTCAGAAAGGTTGTAGTTGTACAATGTACGGAGTTAGCATATCATCAATTGATTACGTCAAAATGAAATCGAATCTCGCGCGTGTATTTTGGAGCTCGCGCGCTAAAGATGACTGCTCTATGTGTCAGCCTCCTTCGCAGAATTTCTTTGGTCTGGTCACGGAATTTATTCTCTTTTCGAGGAATTGTGGAGGATCAGCGCCCATGCCACAGCATGATCCTCATTTCACGCTAGATGCTCGTAAAAAGCGGTTTCGTGAACTAAAAATTGACTTTTTCGGATGGTCAAAGTTCAAATGATCGTACTGTTTTTTTACTCGCGAAATGTGATCTGCTGAGTGAGGTACGATTTACTGTCCTTGAAAGTATAACCTTATGCTCTCTAATCTTAGAGAAACCAACCTGGTTTTGGTCTACTGCTATCTTTTTCGATTTTTTGGTGGGGATAGGGGTGGGGGATGGCCTATAGAGGCTTTTTACACCTCTTACCTTTTAACTCTTGCAGTGTTAAAGCTAAGAAAATGAAGTTTAAGGATTTACAGCACGTCCAGCAATCTTTCCTTTGAGAGAACCATGGAATGATGACGTCTTATGACGTACAAATGACATCCGTCGTTATTTCTGAAGAGCCACCATTTTAGATCCGCCATCTTGGACTAATTTTTTCAAAACGTGAAAGATAACCAATACCGACTCAAAAAAGGTCAAAACCGATAGAGAAAGCTAATGTCGTGTTCAAAAAAAGTAACAGTTGCTGCGAGAAAGTGACGTTTTGCACTAAAAACGAGACAATAAACAATAACTGACATGGCTCGCTGTCAAAAGACGGTTGCAATAGGAAAACTCCCCAATTTTGGAGTTAATCGCCTGCATGCATTTACAATTACAAGCATTCAAAGTCGGCGGAGTCCTCGATAGCCTCCTTTTTCCCCCGAGTCTGATCATAACATAGAAGGTGAAATCAAACTATATGAAACTCTGTACAAACTGACGCACCTTCCAGTGCCAACCGACAATTTCACCGGCACTTTTAAAAGGAATCGAAGAGGCTAACCATCATACCCTGCAGCAGACGGCAGATCGCTGTTGATTCTGTTTACTTTCCTTGATTATCAAACAATTAAACCACCAGCTAGACCAAAAACCGAGAGTTATTTTCCACATACTGACGGCTTACTTTACATGCGGCAAACGGCAGATTACAAAAGTGAGATTTTTTTTGTTCGGGGGAAAAAATCAAGAAAATCGTTTATCTCTGAATTGACATACGATACCTTCCCACCAAGAAATAAGTTGGATCGGTCACTGTTGATATGTAAAGAGAAATTGATCTAATGGTACGCAGGTGAAGCCCCACACTGATTTCCGTTATAATTCACACGAAAATAAAGAACCGGTGTAGTACTTATAAGCTTAGCAAGTATTTCTAAGTGGACGGATTTATTGAGACCGGAAGAGTTGGGCTTCTGTTTCATCATTGAGAGTCTTAATTTTCTTCGTGAGCATAGCGTTAAGTAAGGCAAAGAGACCTAACAGGTTTCTTATTATCTACCTGTTGAAGCCCGTTGTGATTTAACCAACGGTAAATAAATCTCGATAGTTGCTTAACACCTGGCAATCGAGAGTCATGAAAAAGTGGTAGCAATGTTATTAAAATCATGTAACCTTTTACCTTTCAGTGTGTCTTATGTATAAAGGAATCGCTTCCCAACGCGGCCACCCATTCTTTGGACTCGCTTCTTTCTAAACACTCACAGAACCTGCAACTAAATATAACTAGGTAGCAAGAAACTGAGGAAAGGTCACCAGGCAAGTGTAAACAGTACTTACAGGTGGCGATTTTAGTTTAGAAATCCATTGAAAATTACGTCCCTGATATAAGAGCTGTAGTAAATATAGCTAGCCCGTGGCTTTAAAACGAACGTTTTCTCTGCTTTTGAAGTTCCATTGTTCACGGCAGAAAAAACGGAAATATCAGTAGAAATGCCTGAATTTACTTTCATACCTTTTCTTTTATTTTAGTTAAAATATAATAAAAATTAACTAAAACAATACAAACAAAATCTACTCGTGCAATTTATGTGACAAAAAGCAAAGAGGTTGCTGTAGATGGAACAAGGAAGGAAGAGGTGGGGGAGGGGAGGGGGAGTATGGGGTTCTGGGCAGCATGCGATACAACCTCGTTTCAGAACGCTTTCTAAAGAATATCTGTCCCTCGAGTTGCATGCAGTTACAGTTTAAACGGAAAGAGTTAATTGCAGTTTAAGAATATGTACAATCCTTGCGAAACAAACTTTCACCAACCTCCAGTTCCGCAAGACACTTTACCTCACGGTGCTTCTCTTTAGCTGCGTTTTCGGTCAGCGGTTACCGGACGTCTGACGCTTTTAGGCGAAACCAAACACAGGAACTGAATTCTTGGTTACGGTTTGCTTGTGTGACTCACCTTACGATTCAACTTACGATTCTTAATGTAGTAATAGTAAACAATCCCTCGATATCGAGTAAGATAGTTGGTAGTGTTCAATCTGGTTTTGAGCAGAAGGATCGTAGCCTCCAGGGGTGATCCAGATTGCAACGGAAAATAACCAACTGACTTGCGAAGTGTTTCGTGCATGTTTTCCTAGATTTACTTCCAGTGGCCGTAGTGCTTTTCAAAAGTGCCTTAGTAAACAGAAAATACGGCCATTAGAGAGGGCAATTTTTAGACCGAAATTTCACTCTAGAAAGTATTCAAATATTTCAACGGAGTCAAGGAAACAAGCCATACCATAAAGACCTTTAGATCCAGAAGCCATCCGCCTCTTCAGAATAGGTAAATTTATTTTCTCCTTTTTTTCACTGGTCTGTATTTTTATAAGGGTTAGGTTCACTGTTTCTGTTTTCTGTTCCGCTTGTTTTCTAAGCTAATGCTGGCTCTGTCCACACTCAGCCGGAGGAATTTGGAAATGGACATTTCACTCCGAAAACGCATCTAATGCTCGTATGTAGACTTAAGGTATAATAGGACTGAGAAAATTCCTTCATTGTGATTGGCCGTGTAGCGTATTCAAATCGAATTCGCCTGTCTACAAGCTTCCGATAGTATCCGGATTCACTCTAGAAAAACTAGGCCTACACGTTGTGTCGCCATATTGGTTTATTGTTCGGTAAGAGACTGGACACGATTTGGCTACGTCATCGGATTCGAAAATATCTGGATTCGCCGTCCACACGTTATCGGATTCGTTGTGGATATATTTTTTTCCACTCTGGAGAGCGGATTCAAAAATATCCGGATTCGCTGTCGAATTCGCCGGATGCGTGTGGACGGAAGCCGGAAAGAAAAAGTTGCGGATTCAAAAATATCCGGATACGTGTGGATGGGGTCTTATTGCACTCCATTCATACAAATACCCATACTAATTCCAGCCAGAGAAAAGGAGCCATGCCTAATTTAGTTCAGATTTTGTTTCGTTACTAGGATAAAAAAAATAGAAATAATGAAAGCGAAAAATAAGCACTGAATGCATCACATTTTTAAAAGGATAGCAGCCGAGCTTCAAACTCTCACGGTAAAACAAGAATAATCCGTTGCATTAAATCAGTATTCCAAGGACTTCTGTCTATACCATTGTAGATTGCAAGCAAGCGGGTGCCAATATTTAACAAAAATATTTAACATTGGTGAGTATTCACCAATGTTCACTGAGCCTGAGGCGATTACTTAATTGTTTTAGAATAATTTTCAGAGGTGAATATCAAGGACAAGAAAATAACGGACTAAAACATAAAAACACAGACGCAATTGTTCGTGTGCATATGTGCAGCCGTAGTTTTAATAATAAACTTACATGTACTCAGATAGTCACAACCTCGTTCCCAGGGTCCTCTCTCTACCTCGAGAAAGTAACCTGGTTACGGTTGGTCACGTCTCTGCTAGATTTTAACAGACGGCACTCAACGGCGGCATTGATGCATTCGTTTAGAGTTTGATACGTCCAGTGTTTGGCCAAGAGATTAACTCTAAATTTGATTGAATTCATCCAATCGAAAGTTTGACGGTCATTCGATTCTATTGCAGTGAAAAATTTTATGAAGAACTGGACAACAATGACATCGGCCACGCGTTCGCGGCAAAATCCAACGGCTTTCGTTTCAAAACTGTTTAGCGGTAAGTCCAATTTTCGGTCGAAAGACTAGCTTCTCATTAAATTGAATACATCCCATCGAAAATTTGACGGTTATTTAATTCTTGTGCTGTGAAAAACTGATTAAACTAATCCGAAGCAGGCTGTTGACGGTTATTTAAAAAAGTAGTGAAAAATAAATCAACTGCCCTCTCAATCAACATCTCATACTCATAGAAGTTCAGAGAGAAACGAAGCACCGGTCAGGCAGGATCTCTGACAAATAACTTGCTTAACTTTCAAAATAATGTCTGTAAGTCAGCGCAAGTTTCACCTCCATAGACAGTGTTGCACCCTCTGTGCGGCTTTGGTTAGAATGCATAGACAAGTGACCAGCCGAAACCAGGGTACTTTCTCGAGGTAGAAAGATGACCCTGGGAACGACGTTACGATTGCCAAAATTTACTCATCGAGTTCGGCATTAAGAAAAACGAGCGAAACAACACGAAAAATAAATTCATCCGGTGCCTTCGTTTTATCGCGTAAAAGTGAATAGTTTTAGTTTGAAGAAAAATAAATTTCGGTCAATCGATCTGACCTGCTGGCGATCGACGCAACCATTGCGTTTACGATACTTAAAAGCCTTGAGTACGAGTTATTGAAAAGATTTTTGGTCCAAGGGCGACAGCAGTCATTTTGAAAATTCTCCATCCTTTCAAATATCCTGTACTTGGAATGATGTCTTCCGAATAAACGAAAACTTCATTGAGCAACTGTCTGCCATGTTTACTTGCCGAGATGACAAAGTCGGCGAGCTTAGTAACCAAGCTCTAGCGGGGTGAATATAGCGTCATATGATGAGCTTTTCGATCAATCAGAATGTCTGATTCTTAT